GTGTACAGTAATTTACCTGATAAGACAGACCTCAGAAAAATACTTTATGAGGCATAAAACTGTCTATGATGAAAATTAATTATCTAAGGTTATTTTTGCCCTGCCAGGGTGTGGCCGAGTTATCCGGAGTGCCGGGTTATCGAGTGCCGAGTTTTCGAGGCTCTACTGTATATATATAGCAACGGTATATTGTAATTAAATGAAATTATACAATAATACAAGAAAGGATTAAAAATGGTTAAATTCATCGAATATTAATAGAAATAATTTTTATGGCCGTTGAATAAGAAATGTTTTTTTCACAAGAAATGTATAAAATTACAGTACTGTATTAGACTTACAGTACCTAATTTAGGCCTATATACTGTACAGACGATAGTAAACTCAACTTACCCGTCTAAACTCTCCGTAGCGTGTAAGTAGTTCGGCTGCTCGTCCACTATTGGTCCAGATTCGACCAATCCTGTCGCGACACGAGTCGGCGATGACGTTTTACCACATTTTACGAGTCTCTTTTAGCGTCTTTATACGAATACGGTCGCAATTTTTTCGCCGCGTTATACGAATCCGCATTATATGAACCCGCGTTATAGCGGGGTCTACTGTATATGCTATCTTACGATGATGAAAACGTATTTAAACTAAGTCTGAAAGTAGTGTTGTTTGGCAAATTGTATGATAGGTTTAATTACTTTCTACTTTCCATGACTTTTTCGAGACACTAATGAAAATCCCTCACTTTCCAGGTGCATCAGAACACTGTATAACAATATTACAAATGTAATGTGTTAAAATAAAATGTACTCATACAAAAAAATACAAGATTATATAACTAATTTAAATTTTATTTTATATGTATAGTTCATACAAAATGATGCACTTAAAATATATTTTACTTCTCCATCAAGAAATCTGCTATTCTACTTCGTTTTTCTATGGCAGCTGCACGATTTTGTGTGTTTTCAGGAAAATTATCACCATCATTATCATTACAGTTATCAAGTAAGATTACTTCTGGAATATCCTTTTCTTCTTTCTTAATGCATAAATTATGCAAAATGCATGCAGTCATAACCACTTCAGACATGGCTGCGATATTTTCCATGTCTAAATATTTAAGTCTGCAACGTCCTTTCAAAAGTCCTATGGTTTGTTCCACAACTACTCTGACAGAACTATGTCTTTTATTAAAGATTTTTGTTTTATAGTGAGACTACTAAAATCCTCAAATGATACCAATAAAAAAGTATCTAAAGGATGTGCAGAATTACCTAATAAATAATGATTGTTTCTTAAATATTTTGTTGGTTCCTGCAGTAATAATTTATATATCGGACTTTGTTTCCACATCCGAGAGTCATTGAAACTTCCAGATCATCCAACAAAAGCATCAATTGTCTGCATTTCTGCATCTCAAATTATTTGTAACAAAATGGATGTCTTTCTTTTTTAAAATAACTTTGGTTATCTTTTTTAGGTGCCTTTATAAATATATGCGTTCCATCAACACATCCAATTACACCTGGCAATAGAATCTTCCGTAATTGCTCAAACTTGTGTACGATTGTTGACAATATTATTAACTGATTTCCGAAACTTTTTTTTTATTATGTCGTAATTCTTTAACTAAAATACTACTTTCGGCTGTAATGGAAATCAGAGAATATATTCCGGCGTCCATGTTTCGCTCGAGCGGAAAGCGTTTCTAAGCTATGATGCAGCGACGTGTAGCGATAGCTGCTCGTGACGTCATTTACACTGCACTCTGGCTGCATAAAGAAACGCAGTCATACTTTTAACTGACAAGTTAGTGTCGTACATTAGTATCTATTGGATCAATTTCTATCTATGCACATAGCGCCATCTATTGGCAAAAGATTTAACCAAATAATAAACTAAATATAATTCTTATAAAAGAAAGGATATAATTTTAAAATATATATATTATATTCACTTAATTACTGAGACAATGAGCCCGAAATAGACGCATCATTGTCACAGTAATCGAGCGAATATAATACAGTAATACCCCGAACTTATGCGATAGGTGGGACCAAGCGGTAACCGCGTAAGTCGGGGTATAATTTCGCATATAAATACATACAAATAATTTTTAATTGGGGCCGGAGACTAAAGAAAACAATAATTTAGAAAAAAATGTCTAATAAAATCTTAGATATGTATAACAAATTAGGCCTATATTATTTTACAATTTTTCACATTTACTTGATTATTACGCCATAATTTTAACATTGTTTCCATCTCAGCGATAATACTGTGACGTTTACGAATGATGCTTGAATTTAAAGATTGAGCATTTTTCACAGCTTCGA